AGAATTTAAATAAAATACATTACAAGTTTCGATACATATTATATACACTAAGTTCAATGATTTTTGTGAATGGACATACTTTATATTAACTAATGGATGGAATTTATTAAGAAAATAAGAATACTCGACTTGTGAATCAAAGCAGGATTATCATTTCAAGATTTTAAGAACAATGTGATCAAAAAAATTAAAAAATTTTTTATTGGATGTGATGAATTGAACATATTATTTTTCGCTTTGTTTCATAAATTGTAACAAAATATAATCCTTTTAAAGGTATAATAAATGTAAAGAAGTGATATGTGAAAAAAAAAGAATCATTCCAATGATATTAATCAAAACATAAGAGATTCAAACCTTAATCATCGTAACTAGATGGAAACTGTTATTATTCTATCACAAGCCTAATTTTCTTTACATTCGGCCAAGAACTTGTGAAATTACATAAATAATATTAATTTTAGCCTTATAGAGATACTTCCGTTTAAATTATTAGTGTCTTTTTTTAATTACCAACTGAAACCGAGAGAGTTCTACCCATTATAAGTTCAATTCATCGAGAAATTGGAAAGGCTTTGTTAACACGCCATCAAAGAAAAAAAATTACTCAGATATAATAAATAAAATTGATCATTAGTACAAGGAGATTGATCAAATAAAAATTTTGCCAATTTAACAATGCACTTATCGCAAATATCTAAATGAAAGCATGTTAACTATTACTCAATAACCCTAAAGATAATTTATTTAACGTCAAAATAAACAATATAGAGACTGCTAATGAACTTAAAAAAACTAAACATTCAAATTATGGAGGATGGAGATTGAACATTTTTCTTAAAGGAAATGGTAAATTAATTGCAGCCAACAACAAAATTCAACTGAGTCCACTGGAAATTCACATTTATAAAAGTATTCATCAACCAAGAGTATTAATTGCATTACACAATTTGAAATTTGTGCCATAAAGGATTGGAGAAATGATTTTCGATTAATTAGAATTTGGCTCAATGATTAGCTTTGATATTCCATTTGAAATTTGGTTGCTTATGCAAGTATTATATATTTTTTTCGTCAATACAAAAATTCTGTAGGAAATAAAATTATGAATTATATTTTTATAGTTGATAAATTCCTAATGAAAAAAATAAAATACTCTGAAATATTTTAGTGATCACATAATAAAAAGTGTATAGATTAATAATTTAATTTACTCAAAATCCTTTATATAGAGACAACGAAACTTCTGAAACTAGGTCATTTTCTTCTCAAATTGCATATTTATTTTGTGAAAATGCAAAGGTGGTTTTATACATCAATTCTCTATCCACTTACTTAACGATTCAGGTGAAAGATATTTTTCCATTTACATCATTGTCTCATGTATATAATTTAATTTCATTTCATTCCATCTTACATATCATTGAATTTATTGCATTTGAGTAATCCCAGTAAAGTTTCAGACTTTCAGAGATTAGTTCTACAATCACTTTAAATCCAAGTTAAAATTTTTGGATGAATACCATAAATTGACAAAATGTTATGCGAGTGAGCAATACCATCAGCTATTAGTTCTATTATTCGATATACCGGAGAAATATGATCTTGTTTCAACAAAATTTTCACTAATCAGTAAAAAAACAAGTAAGTATTGTATGTGTGTAAATTGATTGACTTGCATGATCCATACAAGCCGCAAAACAGATGAGATACCAAAGCTCACTTAGTATGTAGATAAATACTATAAATTTACGGACTGAATTCCTACTAAGGATTTAAGAAGATCACTTCAGTGAATTTATTTTGGTTTCAATATCTGTTTCCTCATGATAACGTTTAAATCAGTTCAGGTTTAGTTATAAAATTATTTGGTAAATTATTATTTATAATTAATGACATAATAACTCACATTCTTATTGTGATGTTAAGTAATCACATAGATGCTTGTAAAAGAAAATCCTTACTAAATCATCGTTAACTAATCGTTATTTCTTTCTTACGTTGAACTGAGAGATATTTAACCATTATAAATTTTTTTTATACATGTTTCCTCTCGAAATGAGATATACAAATTTTGTTTGTAAATTTAATCATAATATGGGCTTTCTATTATAATCAAATTACGGATCTTATGTACTTTAATTCGATTTTTTTAATTTTTGGCAAATTGATTTTGATTCTGATATATTTGACAATTATTATCTATCACAGAAATCTTATATTATTATATTGTAAATTTAAATAAAAAAAAATACGTCACTATTATAAAAATATACATAGTCTAAAAATTCATGCATCTTAATTTGGCAATTATAAGGAAGTTTAAACATTAATCCTGATCAAGGTTTTAAACTTTTTAAAAAAAAAATTTCCTAATAAGTATATATTAACTAATTTCATAAAAAAAAAAAATGTTCATTCAAAACAATGACATCTTGTGTTTTTCTTTTCTCTTACAATCAAATATTCATATGCTGTTTTACTGCGACATTTAATTTTCCTGAACCTCTAATGATGATTTACTAACACAAGACCATAAGCTAGTTATTTTAATAATTGCTATATAAGGTGAACCAAAAATATATTAATTAACAGAACTTACAGCAGCATATTTTCTATTATAAAAGAAACAGCAAAGAATTTAAATTTTTGCTCCATGTACTATCCTCCCCATACCTAAAAAGTTTTCTAATAACAAACAACTTTCTATCTTTACTAAAACTTTTCAAATGCTATTGATGAGAAATTTGTTGTATTATTAGTGTTTTTTATTTTGGTTACGAGTTCATCAATCAATATTCGCAAAATATTGCTTGATCTACAAGTTTGATATACCCAGAAAATTCATTCTATATCCTAGTGCTATTACGTATTAATAAGAAATTATCTTTACGAGGTCGTTCAATCCATTGACTCTAAATATCTGAATCCCAACCACCTAAGCACAATTTTCTTACTCGTTTGAAAAATGCTAAGATTTTAATTCTATCAATTTTTTTCTTATATAGCAGATAGTTGGATCCTTAATGTTTAAATTTTCACGTCTAAGTATTTAATGCAGATACATGTAATTTACGAACATTTATGAAAGTATTTTTTATTTACTTTTATTTATTATTTCTTCTTTAACAATATCTAGGCAAGTACTAAAGAGTCATAGTATAATTATCAATTTCCTTAAATTTTCTATCTATCTGATTATGTTTCACATCCTTTCATGAACTGCTTATTGTTTAATGAAGTGGCTAGTAAAAGGTTTTAGCTTAAAAGGAGAAGTATTTCTGGTAGTATTAAGCTAAGAGCAATGGTTTAATACTTATATATCAGATGTTCCCTAGGCTTTGCCTATCCATTCTCTTTGAAGTATTTGCTTTACAGGTAAAAGTTTCTTTCACACATCTTTCTTTGGGAGTTCAATTCTCATTGTAGACATTAAGTGGTTTTTATTTTTATTGTTAAGTTAGTCTTTCCAATACTTTCTTCTAACTTAATTTTTTTTATAAAATTTTACAGATTCAAAAGGTTTGCAAAAAGGAAGTTATACCATCTTCAGTGCAATATGTCTTATCTAAGAGAATGCTTTCGAATTGTCATTAAAAAAAAACTTTTTTTTATCATTATCCCAAAGCATTTTTCTTAATACAAAAGAAAATAGCCCTAAACAATAAAAATGATTTGTGATATGAAACATTTCTTAAACTACTAATACTTCACCTCTAATTATTTACAAAAAAGTTTATTGATTTATTGATCTTAGATAATATATGAAAATAAATCAGAACACCTAATGAGAGCTGGAGAATATTAATTAGTTTCTTTAAAATGTCTCTAAATATTATCACATAATATATCCAATAATATATTGAATCAGGATTATTTATTTTTTTACTTAATCATTTTTGATCAAGTTTTAACTGTATTAGTAGAAATATTAATGATAGCAAATTTTTTATTAATATATACTTTAAAATTAACAAATTTTGGTAATGAAATTTTTGTAAATTTAGAGAAGGCTTTAAAGTGAATAATTTCTTTGTTTTATTTTTTTTTAAAAAAAAATAAAAAATGTAGGTATTGATTTGAAATTTTTTAAGTAAAATTTTTAGTAGAATTTTATAATTTACATCAAATCAAAATTAGATAACTTTTAAATAAAAAGGCTTACTATAGTATGTCATTTAGTTAGATTACAATATAACTTCCCTTGGAATTAAGACTTTTTGAAACATTAGCTAATTATATAATTTATCTAATTGTAATTATGAATAAATAAATAATATAACAAAAAATATGAAAAATAACGTTCTGTTCAAAATTACATTCCAGTATTAGACCTGGAATCATCTAAAACTAAGCTAATAAACCTAAACAAACTTAATAACACAATTATTTCAAAGGCTTTTCTTAAGAAAAATTAACAATTAATAAATGAAATAATTTATTATCACGATTTACTTGTGTAATAAGTTATTACAATCAATCCTATAATGAAGATAAGAAGAAGGTTGAAAGTGTAAAATAATAATTTTATTAAACTATAGAGTTATAAGTCTAGTTCTAAGACTTATTCAGAAAACTATCTGATTGAACTCTCTTCGAACTCTATCAACTTAAGGTCAACTTACAGGTCTATTTATATAAAATTGCTAACTATTACTATACTATACTTTTGATAAGTATATTTAATAAAAATAATATAAGTAATAAAAATAAGACTATATAATATTTATATTAAAAAATAAACTATTTGATACATATATTGGAAAGTCGATCAAAGGATACATGTATTACATATTTAACATGTATTATTTTTATGATTTTCAGCATAATTGTAGATTATTTAAGATGTATTATGATCTGTGGTTAATACTGGTAACTAATCTAGAATATGTAATACGAATCTAAAAAAAAAAAATTTTTATTAAAAAAATTTTCATTCATTGGTAAAAACCAAAATATCACCAGTAAAAATTTTCTTATAATATAATTCAGCTTTAGTTATTTAACATTTAAAAAGAAAAGCATATTTAAAATGAAAGTAAAGTTTTTATTTTTATTTAAAATTTTAATTAATTTAATTCTTAATGAATTAAAAAATTTATATATAAAATTAATTTTTTTATTTAATGTAAACTAGTTATCGATTTCATTATCATTCATCAAAAAGTTTTTCTTTTTAAAAAAAATGAAAATAATAAATTTTAAAAATAAACCTTTTGGTTTTTTTAGCAATATGTTTTTATAAAAGACCATAATGTTATTATCATTTTATTTATAAATAGCATTAGTATTATCAGATTGGAAAATTTTGGAATCGTTTGTTTCTGTAAATAAAATAAAAAAAATGGTTGAATTTGAGTAACTTCTATGGTTAACTGCTCTCTAAGGAAGAATAGCCAATATCAATAGAACTACTAATTTAGGTTCTAGATTTTAGAATATTACTTAGTGAGTTCTGCTAAAGTACATTAGCAATATATCAGTGAAGGGTTAAGAGATTATTATATAGTCAATAATAAAGGAACAATTTGTAATAAATTACTCTACATTGTATTATTTTTATTAAAGCCAAAGCTATTTAAAAGATTAACTTGCTTTAATATATAAAAATGATTATAAAATACTTCTCCTATTAACAGTTCTACTCGTATTAATAATGAACTTTTCTTGCATCTACCTTAAATTTTAAATCTTAACATAAAAGTCCTTAGTTTTCATTATCATTATATTAATATGATCAATATTTTCTATTTCTATATTTAAATAAAATAAAAATAAAGGGCGAATATGAGTAACTTCTATAGTTAATAACTACCTAAAGAAGAACAGCCAGTACCAATAGGATTACTAATTAGATTCTAGATTTTTAGAATATTACTTAATAAGTACTACCAAAATACATTAGTAGTACATCAGTAAGGAATTAAGAGATTATATATAGTTAATAATAAAAAGACAATTTGTAATAAATTATTCACATTGTATTATTTTTATCAAAGTTAATGCTATTTAAA